GGGAACGTTGGCTTCCTCCTTCAATGAAGGAAGCAAGCCTCATGTTCGCTTTAAGCTGCCTGGCTGCCGGCCGCCATCTTGGCTGACAGTTAATTTGCATATCTCCCTGATTAGCCAATGAAAAGGGTAGCGGTCGTACGCCAATTACCATGTTTCTCTTTTATTAGTGTAGATTCTCTCCTTTCCATTTGAATCTTTGCTGGCGGACTATGATGACTTTCTTGTTAAGCTTCCCTGTGTTCAGTGTCTCCCCTTCCCATCTATCCTCCCAGGAGCTCTGGAAAGGAATCTCTAGCATACAGTCTTGAGCATGTCATTCCCCTGCTTAAAAACCTTCTAATGGTCTCCCACATATAGGATAAGATCCAACTCCTTAGACAGGCAATCAAATCACCCAAATATGGCCCCAAACTACTATTCCAAGGGTCACCTTCTACCACTCCCCATGCTTTTTAGTCAGGCTGTCCCCCTCAGGCTAAAACATCTTTTCTGCCTAGTAGCATCACTTCCGAGACACATGAAGCCTTTAGTTTAGAAGAACATATCTTGAGTTTCTAATGCTCCAAAGCATTTTCTTTTCTACCATCATTACAGTGCTAGAGTACAAGACTGCATTCAAATTCATTCTCTACCCAAATGCAAGCTCCTTGAAAACAGTCATTAGGCCGAATTCATCTGCTTCCTGTTCTAGAAAACTGTCTGGCACGTGAGAGATCCTCAACAAACTTAGATAAATAAGAGGAAAGCAGCCCGCCAGTGTGGCTCAGTGGCTGGGCGTCAACCTATGAATCAGGAGGTCACACTTCGATCCGGTCAGGGGACATGCCCAGGTTACAGGCTTGATCTCCAGTAGGGGACATGTAGGAGGCAGCCGATCAATGATTTTCTCTCATCATTGATGTTTCTATCTCTCTCCCTTGTTCTCTGAAATATATTTTTTTCAAAAGAGGAAAGCAAGACTAGAACCCAAAGAAGGAGGCACATTTCTGTTTCAAAGAGTATCTGTTTCCCTTTCCCTCCTTCAGATATCTACCTCAGACTTAGCTGAAGAGTTCCAAACGTATAATACAACTCTAAGTCAGAACTTTGGACTAATCACCATTTTTTTGCTCCCCAATGCCTCCTAACTCTCTCCCAATCACTCAGCTTTCACTACATGTCACTTGTCTTAGGTGAGTAGCAGGTGTTAAAAAAAAGAAAAGAAAAAGAAAAAGGATAATTAGCACTTAATGAAGGCTTTCTTCCTGGATTCTATTCTGGCTTCAACAAAGACATAATCAGGAGTAAGTCTAGACATCAGTGTAAAAGGAGAGAAAAATCTTGCTGTGTTTTGTAACTTTCAGGCTGAAACTTTAAGAGTGCAAAGCTATTCAACTCATATCATGAAAGAAAGAAAGGGAGGAAAGGGGGAAGGGAAAGGAAGAAGAAACGGAAGGGGAAGGAGGAAAGGGAAGAATTAATTTAGGGGCAGGAATAGGCTCTTTGAAACAAGATGGCCCAGTAGCCTTGGATTCTAAGTTCTGTTATGCCTCCAACTCATTGGGTCATCCTATGGAGGGCCTTCCTCCTTGAAGGAAGAGTTTGACTTGATTTTCCAAACCATTTCAAGTTCTAACATGTGAAGGCTCTATTAAGCAGCCTTGTATCCTAGACTTCCTGGCATAGTAAAACCAAGTGTCCTTATGACTTTGACTAAACTTAGCTTTTAGTTTTAAGTCCTAGCTCTAGAAATCATAATCCTCTCTCTATATATACCCCTCGGAGACCTAGCCTTTCCCCAGACAATCAGCAACTCTTGAGGCAGAAGATAGTAGCCAGAACCTAACCAATGCTCACACTCACACAGACCTCTGGCAGGCTAAAGATAACATCTTAACCTAAGGTATGTTTCAGTTCCTGAGCCATAAGGTGGAATGACCCTGGCTACTTTCCCAGGAGACCAAACAGAGGGAAACAGGAAAAGACCTTTCCACTGTCTTCAAAATCTGAAGAGATGATTTATTACCCTTACCTCACCTCTAACCAGTCAGCTCTCAGCACAACCCCTAACCCTGGTGTCTTGTGATTTTGCCCTTATATAATCTATAACTTAAATGCCATTGAGGAGTTCAGGCTTTTGAGCATTAGCTTTCCGTTCTCCTGGGTGGTGCCATTCATAAAATAAAATACCCAATATTTCTCCACTGCAATTCTCGGTATTTAGTGTTTAGCTCCAGTGGACAAACTGTTCTGTAATAAAAAATTCTTCATTGATTCATCCATCAAATATTTACTTTGCATTTACTGGGAAGAGGAATGCAGAAATAAACATGACCTCTAGTCCCTGCCCTCAAGGAGCTAACAGACTAGCAGCAGGAGAAAAACATAAATCAAACCCAATTTTAAAGATTCTATTAATCCTTAGACCCTTTTTGAAGTCCAAGTAGAAATCATTAAAGAACACATAAACAATTTCAAATGATACATTGAAATGACCAGAGGTTTTAGATATGAATTTAAAGAGATCTAGATATGAATCCTAATACAGCTGTTTACTGTGTTACCTTAGGCAAGTCACTAACCCTGATAAGCCTCAGTTTTCTGAACTGTAAAATGGGGTTAACATATCTATTCTCATAAGGTTGTATAGGTTAAGGAAGTTAATGCATGAAAAGCTCTTTGAACAGTTCCTAACAAGGTAAGCATTCAATATAAGTAATGTAATAAATATGATGTAAATATTCAACATATCAGCTCTTACATTTAAATAAGAGTAATATATATATATATATATATACACACACACACACACATACACACACACACACACACACACACACACACACATATATATCCATACATACACACAGTGGGGCCTTGACTTACGAGTGTCCCGACTATCGAGTTTTTTGAGATACCAGCTGTCTCTCCGCTGATTTTTTGCATTAAATTGACAGAGTAATTTGAGTTAACGAGCTCCTTAACGACATCCTTAACGAGCTTGGTCTCGGAATGAATTAAACTCGTAAGTCAAGGCCCCACTGTAGATAATAAGCACAGTACATAACTCATAAAAAACAGTCAGTAAATGAGAACTCTTATTATGGTTTCACATGATCAAAACTGCATAAAGTCACATATATAAGGGAACAAAGACTGCAATGAGGTAACATAAATAATCAACATATTAAAAATGGTGGGGTGCCCAGCCAATATGGCTCAGTCGTTGAGCACAGACCCAGGAACCAAGAGGTTACCAGTTTAATTCCGAGTCAGGGCACATGCCCAGGTTGTGGGCTCGATCCCCAGTAGGGGTCGTACAGGAGGCAGCTGGTCAATGATGTTCCTCTTTCATCGATGTTTCTATCTCTCCATCCCTCTCTTTCCTCTCTCTCTAAAAATCAATTAAAAAATATTTTTAAAAAATGGTAGGGTTAGGCCCTGGTTGGGTAGCTCAGTTGGTTAGAGTGTTGTCCCAATATGCCAAAGTTGCAGGTTCAATCTCTAGTCAGAGCACATACAAGAGTTAATCAATGAATGCATAAATAAGTGGAACAACATATTGATGTTTCTCTTTCCCTCTCTCAAATCAATTTAAAAAGTGGTAGGGTTATAGAATCTACACTAATAAAAGAGAA